TCTCCTCGGTCTCGTGGCCCTGATCCTCGTCTTCGCTCACCCCGTAGCGTCGTTCGACGACATGGACCGCAATCACCTTGAACATCCCAGCCCACCGACTGAGGCAAGCACGCCACCTCGTCACTACCCGTTCAGCAAGGTAGAGCATAGTGCCCGATGGAGATTAAGGAATTCAGCTTGGTAGGTATCCTTAGTATCCTGACCGGAGGTGTCATATCTGACGGTCGTCTCCAGGATGTGATGTTGCACGCAAAAGGCACCTCATGTGGCCGCTGGCATCTGCATTCGGGAGTCCTCTGAGACGTCGGAGCCTGATCGTGTGTGTTAGGTGGGCCGATGGACTCTGGGGGTGGCTCCCCCTTGTCTCGTTGGTTCCACCGGCCCACGAGAACGGCAACGGCTGTCTTTTCCTCTCGCCCTCGGAGCATTCGGTAAGCTGGCTCCCATGATTGTAGGAGAGATCTCTGGCTGACGTTCGGTGATCTAGGTCCGTTGTGCTGGGCAAAATGTCGCCAGTTAATGAGTGTCATAACTGCACCTACCCGTACGAGTTGCCAGTGCCAGTCCTTCACCTAGACTCGATCTATGGGTCTATTTCCGGATGTGCAGGATACCATGATCAGACAGCGCTGTTTCCGCATGTTCCATCCCTCTCTGTCGCATATTCAGACGTATCAATTGGATCTCTTTATCCTTCTGGCTGGCTACATGAACTGAACATCGTCTAATGCTCGAATGTTGGCTCTGGTGTGAACCACTTGCGCGGGTTGGCTTGAATGTGATCATGAGAAAGTCCGTAAGTGCGATATCCCCCTGGCGAGTAGGATAAGTGGAGGCTGACGTGCGAGGCCTAAAGCTATCATGGGCCGAGTCGATGCGGAGAAGGCGATCACAGCGGTGATCCTTTCCTCGCTCCTTCCTCAATGTTTCGTGGTGCTATCTCACAGATGTGCCTTGTCACAGGTTGCCTTCGGCGGAAAGAGTGGGTTGCTTTTGGAACTTCTGGCTACTACGAGAGCTCTTGCGATGAGAATCGAATCCCGAAATCACAGGCAAAGTCCCCATAGCACGCTGGCGAGGATCGACGGAGTCCATGGGGCGTAGACCGGCCTGGATGAGCCTCTTCGGTTCATGGAATCACATGGGATACGTCAGGCTCGCTGTCTGTCGCTTCCTCGGGGCTGAGGGAATCGATCGCTACTGACACCTCCCTAATAAGGCAGATGCCAGCCGCAAACCACCTCATCGCACGTCCGGCAGCTCGATATCTGTGAAGGTATGTCCTGCAACTGAAGGTCTCGACCTCGCGAGGCTGTGTCCACGACACAGGACTGGCTGTCCAAGAATACGCTGCGGTGGTTGACTTTCGACATGAACCGAGAAGCGGCTTGCCAGCCACCACAGACACGAGTATAAAGAGCCGGCCATTATGCTCATCCCACCTCACCTACTACCAGCATCGTCTACCAAGCAGCATACGCCTCAGCATACCAGCTTCTACCCCAGCAGCATACATCTCAGCATACCGACTTCGCCCTAGCAGCATACGCCTCAGCATACCAGTTTCTTCCCCAGCAGCATACGCATCAGCATACGCATTAGCATACGCATTAGCATACGCATCAGCATACACATCAGCATACCAGTTTCTTCCCCAGCAGCATACACCTCAGCATACCAGCTTCTTCCCCAGCAGACGCAGCCTCGCCTCTCATCATCATGACTCGGTTCTTGTACCCCCCGACTTAGCCTCCCAACTCGAGATTGGATGAGGGAAGGGGTACCATTGCCGCACATGTCTACCTTCGCAATCCTACTATCAGACGACCCGACAGCATAAGCGGCAACACACCCTCTTCTGCTAGCTGCGGGACGAGTCCGTCGTCGCCTTCTACCATCGAACAATCTGCCCACTCCTGAATATTCAGTCACGACGACTCACGCCAAGCCGCAAATGACGCGCGGCAGCACCCGGGAGAGGGACACACGGTACGTGTTGACAGCGAGTCTCTTGTTCTGTGTCCGAGCCTGACTCGCTCCATCGTAGTGGAGGTGGTCGCGGCCGCCCAACGACAGCCACTCACCACCTTCAGCAATTCGTTGGTTTCCGGCATCAAGATACCCTACCCGCTAGCGGACGTATGGTTCCCTAGCATCCCGAGACGTCGGGTAGCTAGAGAGCGTGCGTTTGGGTGGCTGGCGGACCTTGGCGCCAGGTCTGGTCAGCCCCCACGGCCTACGCGGACGACACCTGCTGTCTCTCGCGCTCGAGGATAGCGTCCTTCCTACACAATGGCACCGACCCAAGCCGCAAATCGCGCGGCGGCCTTGTAGGAAGGAGCACTCGGTGAGCAGCCTTCAAATACTCGTTTGCGATGAACTCCAGTCTGACACCGTATATCAGAGGTCGGCCGCAAGCAAGACAGTCGTGCGCCAGTCTCTAATGAACGGGACTGGCGTCGAGGTGCGTCCATGGTCGCGCGTGCACTCCCACTCCTCCTCCTCGCCTTCGGCCGGGGTGTGGAGCGAGGACTGGAAGTGCGGCGGGGAAGGTCTTGAACGATGGATTTCAATGGATCGTTGGTAGTAGTCGAGGGTTGGTGAGGTTGACGTCAGACGGGAATATTGCGAAAAGCCCCGGACGCGCATGAGTGCAGCCATCCCGAGTTCGCTGTCTTTCTGCCGCTCGGCACAAAAAACTGGATAATACAAAATCTTGTCAACTCGGACAACGTTACCCATGTAAAGAAACGCTTTGTGCAGTCAGAGGGATTGGTATCGACCAAACATGTAGTGCACATCAACCGAGCATCGTTGACTCCGCTATGCAACCACTTGTACAGCGCGCTCTGGAGCACAGGTCACTGATATGCCTTCGCAAGCCATCCAAAGTGCTTCTGCATCAGCTCCAGGGCCCGAGAAGCAGGGGAAAGACAAGTTCGAGATCAGAAGGAAAGGCAGAGAAAAAGACAGAGACATATCACAACATCGTGAAGAAAGTGACGGCGCGAGGCGGGAAAGCGACAGAGACAGGGTATAACGGAAGTAAAAATTCACTGGTAAACCTTGAGCGATGCGACGTCGAAGTACGCGTTGGTGAATGCACTAGGGTTCTCGTCCACGTATGCTGGATATAATATTTGATGAACCTCTGGGAATAGCGAAGAGAGACAGGGATTATGCGTACTAGTGCAGTCCCCGCGAGGCAGCCATCGTTGGCAAAGACCGCGCCAGCCCAATCACTGCCTATCGAATATGTTGTGCGGCCCAAAGTGCGACGCCATATCGCACGAAGTGTTCGGAAAGTCCGCCAACGGACTACAGGCAGGTGTCCGTCTCTGGACTCTCGATACAGATGAAAGAACTCAACCACTCCCCCTTTCATGTAGACTGCATGTTGCTACTTTCTGAGACCGCACCAGTCTCATCCGGGCGACACTGCACCGAACTCACACCCAAGTGCAGCACTCGTGGCAAACACAGAATCAGAGGACAAGCCATGCGTAGACTACATAGCCGCCGAGTCCTGGACGGCAAGCCGGAAGCTTCGGCCCGTGTCTGCCGATGTTTCCCATCACGGCTGTCCATGTCATGCTCGGCCCACTGTCCTCCCCGTCGTCATCGGCAGATGGGGTGTAAGTTGGTAGATGCGGGTCCTTACCCCACACGCTGACTTCGGTCGTGGTCCGGGCACGCTGGTGCAGGTCTTAAGTGACGCGCCGGGTGGAAATGGCAAGCAATCTCGGATACGCTTACTCACCTATCTACCGTACACAGTAGATATGTTTGGTATAAGACAAGAAAATAATAATAATAATAACTGTCCTCCCCGAACTTGAAGTGTCCGACGAGTAGCCCTGCGCGCGGCGTCCGGCACTATCATACACAACAAGCTCGTCATGGTCGACCTTACCTGGACAGCCGCCTGTTCTCCTTTGGATGAAGGGAAGCATAACCCGTGAAGCGACTCAAGATGGCCTCCATTCGCCCTGCTGGCCACGGTAGCATCGACACCTAGGGCTGAAGTCAACTCGGGGTCCCAACACCGAGCGTGGTCAACATGATTACTCTCTGGATGCTATGAAAGGAGCCTGAAGGTAATCCTCGGGATCAGATCCTCTGCGCTCAGAGTATCGATCAGAGGCGCAGTGCTAATCGGGCTCGCATTTTCACATTCCGTAGCACTTCTCTCTTTTCATCCTAACTTCACTCTTCCATGATATTCCCACGTACCCTCCGATTCCCTTTCGAGCTATTCTCGATCATTGACACAACGCCCAGCGCCCAATGTCCTTCGGTCCCTGGTCGCCGAATGACTACAACGATGAGTGCAATGGTCTATCTATGGTGCACACGTGAGGGTCGTGTCGGCCAGCTGCAGCCTGGCATGAGCGCGGTTGCTCACATACTTAGAATACCCGAATGCCGAAAACAACGGTCCGGCACAAACGCTTTTCGTGGATATAAGAGGACTATATCTGGCGGAACATACGTCTCGCTTGACGTTTCCTTCTCAGCTCAGCGAGCCCTATACCACTCTCCATCGCTATAGCCACAGGATACGACGATGTCCTCGACAGCAGACGCCAAGAGGGAGATTATACGGTCGCGTCCGTTGGACGAGAACGATTACAAGATTGACGAAGATGGACTCGCATTCATGAAGGCCCAGACGGGAATCGAGGATGAGGAAGAACTCAAGAAGCACATCCTTGCTGTCCAAGCTGAAGCTTACGAGGTTCGTTCCAGATTCTACCTCACCTATCCCCTGGCGATCGTACCGATCTTGGAACACTTCGACCTATCTAGGTTCATCCTTACCCATGCATCAGGCGCTTCACCTTCCTCCAGTAAGTCCGTCACCGGACCGCAGCATGCAGACCACTGTATGGATGAAGCTCTAACAACTATCCGGGCCATAGGATGAAGCTGGCGAGCCTGCCTGCGTACGAACGTTTGTTGACTCTAGGTAAGGAGCGTAAAGACCCTATCTTACTGGACATCGGATGCTGCTGTAAGTTCTGGAGTTGTCTCCCAGCTTCCAGATTATATCGATATGCATGTATGCAGTCGGTAATGACATCAGGAAGGCTATTCACGACGGTTTCCCCAGAGAGGGAGTCATTGCCTCTGATCTGCACCCCGGTAGGTTTCGGCTATCGCAATCCACAACCTCGTCTCGCTCACACACTGTCATGCAGAGTTTTGGGATCTCGGACACAAGCTTTTCAAGACCACGCAGGAAACGTTCCCTGTCCCCTTCATCGCCGGGGACGCTTTTGATCCCGCGTTCCTCGAGGTCACAGAACCCTTCTACAGCCCACCGAGCGAGCCCCGCCCGGCCAACCTGTCCAGCATCAAGTCGCTGAACCCCCTCCGCGGTCACGTCTCTGCAATCCACGCCTCGTCCTTCTTCCACCTCTTCAGCGAGGACAAGCAGTTCCAGCTCGCCAAGTCCCTCGCCGGCCTCCTCTCACCTGAGCCTGGTTCCATGCTTCTCGGGACACACGGTGGCCGTCCGGAGAAGGGGTTCAGGACCGAGCAGCTTCGTCCGAACTCGCACGGGTCGACCATGTTCTGCCACTCGCCCGAGAGCTGGGCTGAGCTGTGGGACGGGCAGATCTTCAAGAAGGGGACGGTGAAGGTCGAGGCTCGTCTCGTGGAGAGAGGGCTCCATAACTGGAATCCAGATGCGAAGTTCTACTTCCTTGCATGGTCTGTCACTAGGCTTTGAGTCGGCGATGGAGTGTGTTGCCGGACGTGCACCTCAGCGTGAGTACAAAGAACAGCTGCTCATGATGTAGAGTATGTCATGGACTAACCCAAAACATATACACGTGGCAGCGATTGATCTGGCATGGTTGTGAGAGTACCGTGTATTCAACTACGACGGCCGTGTGTCGCTAGTATTTGCCGCTTGCAGTAGCTATTGTTGCGCTCATTGTCCTCCTGTTCTCCTTGGTAAGCTGAGAGATTCGAAATCTGCTAATCGGATTATCTGAGAGGTGCGTGAGCTCTGCTGAATTGAGAGCGGGATCAATAACGGCGCTCAGTATGCAACATATTACTTCAAAAACACACTTCAGCAGTGACACTCAGCGCCGCCCTGGCGATGATGCAGAGGATTATGAACGCCGGCATTACTGCCCAGTGATCGTCGGAGCGAGGGAGACTCTAAGTGTAAGCTCTACTTTGTGATTCGGTGAGTGGGACGCCGAGCCGAATAAGGAGTGTCCTCCGTCCTTCCATCTTCTTTTTATGACGCTGTCTGGACGAAATGAACCGTACGATGAGCATCGTACCATACTGTTGGCCTCTACACAGAACTGTTCCTGTGACGCGTATTCTTGTTTGGGTAGCCTGTTAACTGCTCTGAGAAGTTCGACAGACTACTCACCAGATATTGAGAGGTTTTGGAGCCCTGCATACCTCGAGCAGCTCTCCGATCGCTTCTACGTACAGGGACGTGACGTGTGCCATACCGCCTTGTACTAGTACGAGGTAGGCAACGAGTATATATGAACGGCTGTTTCGCACGCGTGCAATACATTCCTCACTCCTCACTCATCTGCCAGCCTTTCCTGCCGTCATCACAAGCACCTGCAAGCCATGATGGTCTCGCTATCCGCAAAGCCCACAGATGTACCCGCTCTCACAAGCAGCATCGAGAGGCCTGCGCGGGATCCCTTACTGGAGGCCTCGTATTCGTCTATCACCAAAGAGGAGCTGGACTTCGTAGGCGAACAGACGGGCATAAGGGACGAGGACGCCCTCCGCGAACACATCTTGCAAGTGCAGGCGGAAGCCTTCAGCATCCACCCGTACCCATGCATAAGGAGGTTTGCCTTCATCAAGTGAGTGCTTCCGGTGCTGTTCACTGCTTATCACGGAGACACTCATCGTGAACGACGCTTGTATCGCCAAGAATGAAGCTCTCACCTCGCATTCCTGCATACAACGGCTTGCTCAAGCTTGGACGAGAGCGGGAAGGGGCAATCCTGCTGGACATTGGATGCTGCTGTGAGTGCTTCTCTGTGTATGCGTCCACCTGTGCTCAGCCAGGGCGCATGACAGTCGGAAACGACGTGAGGAAGGCCGTCTCCGACGGCTTCCCAGTCGATAATTGCGTGGCCACCGATATCCACCCTGGTCGGTGTTTCAGCACCCGTCGTCTCCGTGACTAATACCACACTGTCGCTTACATCGCTCCCGCAGAGTTTTGGGACTTCGGCCACAAGCTCTTCGGCACGACCCAAGAATCCTTCCCCGCGCGCTTCTTCGCGGGCGACGTCTTCGACCCCACACACCTCGAGCCCGTCGCGGCTTTCACGTCGGCCCCCGCAACGCCACGCCCGGACCTGCCCACGCTCACCTCGCTAAACCCGCTCCGCGGGCACGTCTCCGCGATCCACATCTCCGCCGTGTTCCACCTGTTCAGCGAGGAGGAGCAGGTGCAGCTGGCGCGGTCGCTCGCGGGCCTCCTCTCACCCGAGCCGGGCTCGATCGTCTTCGGGCTGCAGAGCGGCAGAGCGGAGAAGGGCTTCCGCGTCGAGGCGGGCCTGCCGAGCTCGCATGGGAAGCAGATGTTCTGCCACTCGCCCGAGAGCTGGAGGGAGCTGTGGGAGGGCGTGTTCCCGCCTGGGACGATCCGCGTCGATGCGGATGTGAGGGAACTGGAGAGGGACGACTTGAAGCCTGTGGCTGACGGGGCCAAGTTTTGGGTCCTGACGTGGTGCATCACGAGGTTGTAGATGGGTGACGTAGTCCCGGTGGTCGCTCGAGTAGCCAGTCAACCTACAAGAAATAGAGCTGCAAGCTGTATTGAAAGCGTCGCTGGTTTCAACAATCAGCGCATAGTCACTGCAATAATGGATATATCGCATGCAGCCCCTGCACGCACGAGGAGGGGCACTCTGAGGAGCCGTATATTGCACAAGATTATATTGCAGCATCAGCGATGTTTAATACAAATTGTCAGTCCGGTAAACTGCGCACGTCCCCTCAGTGTATGTCTACCCCAATCACTTCGTGATGAGCCACGCAACACGAATCATGCCTTGGGCTCAGCCTCTTCAAGTGGCGGCGGGCCCTCGTCGTCGTCCGAGTCATCCTCTTCAACGTCGGCGCTGCCTGAGGGACCTGCCGCATCGGGGTCGAAACCGCCCGCACCGCCGCCCATAGACTGGAGCATCTGCAAGTTTGGCAAAATGTGCGTTAGTACTATGTACGGGATTCCGAAAGAGACGTCTCGGGCAGTCCGAACTTACCGAATCGAGGTCTCCCATGCCTCCCATGCCACCCATACCTGGCATGCCGCCCATACCTGGCATGCCGCCCATTCCCGGCATGCCCATACCACCCATGTCGAAGTCTTCGTCGAGCGCCGCCTTGTCACCGTCCTGCTCGTCCTCGTCGACCCACTTGGAGAAGTCGGTCTTAAGGAACGCGTTCCGGACCTTGTCTTTGGTCAGACGTGGCCAGTACTCCGCTTTCAGCTCCTTCTTGCGGAGGAGGAGCTGGAACGAGCGCGACGTGAGCTTTTTTGATGATGCCTGTGTCCGGTTATTAGAAAAAGGGTTTCCGCCACATAGGGAAGATAAGAGTACGCACTTCCGGGTCTACCTCTGCAAACAGATCGATCGCAAACTCGTAGTCCTTCTCCTCGAGACCCTTTTCAGCGCTAGTTGAATGAATAGGACGCGTCAGGACGCGTGTGTGAAGGGTTATTGTGAATGGAGCATGTACTGACTTTCCCGCTTTCGCCTTAAACGACAACTTTGTTGGCGTCAGGTTGTACTCAAGCGTTTCAGGCTTGATGTCAGGCAAGTTCACTGTAACATAGAGGATGTTCTGCGGGACGTGGACGCCACAGGGGAAAAAGTCATGGTCAATACATGTAAATCTCATAGAGCCCGCGCGCGGACAAGATCGCTCACCTTCTTCTCATCGGATTCAGAGCTGCGCTGTGCCCACAGGACCTCTGGGTGGAACGGCATTTTGGATTTTTGGATGTTGTTGACGATGTGCCGGATGGTGTGCGCGGCGGGGGGGATTAAAGGCGGACTGGACTGGCGGTTCGAGGAAAGCTCTCGAATCGAGGAGAATCTCTTGGGGGTGGGCGCCTCTCCAGCGACGCGCACTCACCGTCGCGTCCTGTGCCCACCACGTGGGAACATGTGGGGAACAGCGCGCGTCATTATGGGCGCCAAAACAAATGTCGCGACCTCTTCGCTAAGCACGCTTGTCCCGGCAACACCAACGCCAGCTCTTGTCGCGGCACCATCTCTGACTCGCTGCATTTCTCCCGGACCGACCTTGCAACATAGCATTGGCAGCATTGGGAGCTACACGACGCCTCACAACGATTATTGGGTTCCGGAACACCAGTTTCAAAATCATCAACTTCCTTTCTACTGGCCTTGCATGATGTGGTCAGTACGCAATCCCTATACCGAGGATCGAAAGCTGACGGAAAATTTGAAGGTGTACACGATGGTATCTTCCGCTCGTGCTGTTGCCGATGCCAATCGCCCCGCCATATTTCTTGCTCTTATTCCTTTTCTCGACCACCATGCACGCGCGACCATGGTGGGTCTCATCTCAGTGACTTCACCCATTGCACGCGTTGTGGTCGCTCACTCGAACCCCAGTTTCTATTGCATGGTTTTGCTGACCGCCATGTTCATGTCAACATGTTACTGGCCCCCAGTGCCCATCGAGACTCCCCTCGTCCAACCGTGGTCGGAGAATGTCACCACCTTCGCAGACGCCCTCCATCTCATGATGCCCAACTTACCGGAGGAGAGGATGCCTTCTACGATTCCTGTCGCGGACCGCTGCTGGTGCGACTTCTCGAACGGCTTCTTCGCGCCGTTTAACGCAACAAAGTGGGATGAGCTCAGCGTCGTGCGGCTGAAGGACAGTCTAGAGAAGGATATTGCGGCGGAGAAGGAGGAGAGCGATAGGCAGAGATGTGAGAGGGGCGAAGGTGAGGACGCCACCGTGTCCGCAGCTTGCGCGGACGCCCCGGGGGAGCTACAATCCAACGTGTCGGTCTTGGCGACGGCTCAGAACGGATCGGAGTCGGAGGGACGACCTCATTTCTGGAACATATTCCGCCCGTTCAAGCGCACTCCGACACTCCCCCCTACTAATGCTTCGTCTGACGAGGCCGATTCAGCCTCACTACCCGCACCCGCTGCATCCCCGAACGCGACGTCGGCTGTTCCGACAGACTCAAGGGAGCCCCAGGAGAGCGCGCAGCAGTCCGTGCCTCCCAAACCATGGCTCCGTCGGGAATACGATCTGCGGCAATACGGATTTGCGATGGTGTTGGACTTCGGATGGCCAGACACACGTTCATAACGGGGTCGAGGGGACGAAGGTAGTATACTATGGAGTCATCTAATGTTGTATTATTCTCAGGCAATACCCTCGCATAGACACCTCAGCAATACCATTGTACTATCCCAGGGGACAACGTTCTCGGCGAGTCGCCGCCGGGTTCGATGTTAGTCACAGCATGACTAGAGCCGCGGTCCGAGTGAGCAAGCCTTCTTACGGGACTGGCACCAGTTAGAACAGTCCATTGACCCAAGGCATTCATGCGCCAACTCTATGCCACGACAAATGCGCTTGTAGGCGTAAAATGTAGTTTAGTTGCATGTGTCGTCACAATTTTCCACCGCTACTTACGATGTCCACTGCTTCCTTGACATACCTAGGCCCCCAATGCGCGAATCAGAGCACTTCGAGTGTGACAATTGCCATATCAGCTCAAGTCGAAGTGAGCACGATTTCTCGACTCTCAATACTCGGTACTCAGCAGCCGATGTAGCCAAATGCTTGTTATTTACTTCGTGCGTGCACTCCCTACGTACATTTCCAGAGAAGCGATCACAGTTCAAGTACATGTAATCCAAACGGAGCTGATTTACTTACTAATAGCAGTGCCAGTATGCCATGAGGTCTGTGGTCACGTCTACTTCTACGATGTCCGCTAATTGTCTGAATCGGTCAAGAAGACGCTGGCGAGCTACAGACGCATCCTGCGAATCCGGCAGTACACATCTGAAGGTTGCAAACAAGGTTAGCGGGCGACACAGCGAGGCGCGATGCGTGAGTGTTGCCTCGATCAAGATGCATGCGTCTGTCGAAGGGTCCCCCCTCTTCACACCCTTTTGGACGTTGAACGCGCAGCGTACAACAAGGTGCGTCAACTCTGGACATACAGGTTGGCCCAAGGGAGTATCCGCGGCCAGTGCGCGAAAGAGGCCGTCCGGGATGTCTCCTAGGTGGACCTCGAGATGAGTGATGCAGGCGCAGGTGTGGATGAGTGCGTGGAAGTGTCTGTCGACACCATGAATCCGGTAGACGGAAGAACTAGGGATGGAGAGCTTCACCTGAACCAGTTCCACTGAAGGTGCGAGAAATTCGTCCATGATCCGCGAGAGCACCACCTGATGAGGCTGAGTCGAATCATAAAGGGAGGTGTCAAATCTCGAGTCGATCCGGAGAGTGCTTCACATCCAGCCCTGCACGGTCCAGGTCCACTGCCCATAGCCTGCGCGGGCCCGGCACAAAGCTATGGAGAAAGGGCTGATCGTAGCTGCAGTTTCGCTTCGCGGAATCAATGGGCCGCCGTTGTCTTTGCTTCGGGTGGCTACGAAAGTGGTAGAAGGGATGATCACATAGTCCAAGAATTTGCGGATCCTCTCGAGGGAAATGGGGCGCTTGAATCCCATGCGTAACGTACGGAGACACGGGAGAGTGGCAGGCGGCAGAGGGACCATGTTGCCTGCCGACCAGGCACAGCGGAAATCTCGTAGGATGCTCAGCTCTACGAGTCGCGGACACCGTCGCAGAAATGAGAGGATGTCAGCCGGACGATCCTGCGCCATGACATCGCATTCAGTGCAGTTGCAGCTGCCGAGCTCCACGGATTGTAAAGAGGGGATAGACAGCCTGGGAGTCATGAATGAGCGGGGTATACGAAGGGTATGCAGAGATGGAAAGGCATCCGGTAGGAAAGAAATGGACTGAAAAGTCGCCTACCTCGCCTCAGCTGATGAGATTTCGAAATTGTCTTCCGTGGATTCGTCGTGTTCGTGTTCGATGACGAGTCGAGTCAGATGAACCATCCTGAAAGACCGTAGTGCCTCGAATACTTCGACGATGTGGTCGGGCTCCATGTATATGGCCAAGGGTGTGATTCGGGAGAGGTGTGGTACTAGTATTGTTGGCCGGAGATCTGACGAAAACATAACAGTGACATCTATCTTGCGGGGGGCGAACAACCGGAGGATCTCATTGGCGACTTGTATATCGAGTGCGGAGGAACAAGAGTCGTCCATGACATCCGAGAGGCGTAACATGGCTTGCCAAAACGCGGGGGTCCTGAGGATAATGCTGCGCCACTTGCGACACACGTGTAAGATGCGAATGTCATGGCAGGACTGAGGTTCTATCCTCGAAAAGATCTCCATGAGCATTTCGGTGGGTAGAAGGAGATGGACCAAAGCGCCGGTGTTGAATGTAGAACTGAGCCGGCGTGTGTACTCTTTGTGGTAGTCTATCTTAGATCGCGCCAATGACTGAACATTGGACGGAAGTAGGGTACGGAGAACGACTTCGTCCTCAGGCAACCACTGGAAGGCGTGGTCGTGGTGTGCGTTCCGAGTTACTTGCAGAATCGGTGAGGAGGAGTCAGTCATTCTGACATCGATTATCAAAAATCAGTTAAAAACAACGTTCCAGGACATGCGCAGATACCCGCTGTTCCATATGCGTTGATCTGAGTAAAATAATGCGGATCTGAAGGTTGGATGAGCGAGAGAGAGATTCGGGGTTACGCGCGCTTCGCGCTCGGCCGAGTGACGAAAGGGCACGTGCCCATGCCCCCGGCGCTTGGGACGCGTCGCGGCCAGTAACACCTCCCTCTCACCGCCCACCACAGCGAGCACGCACATTCCTTCCTCACTGCCCCTATAGGGCGCGAATTCTATGGCCTCATCCACCAAGTCTCGCGGACGTCATCAGGACAGTAAACATGGCCAGTACGCACCAACCGACTCTTCCGTTGAAGGCAGCGGTAGCTCCTCCACCACCAGCAAATTCGATGCGGTCTCTAAAGCCATTCTGTCGCCATTTACATCCCGAAAGCATGACTCCGCGAAGATCCTTTCAGAGCGTACGTGGTACTCCGTTCGTTGCCATTCGGTGGTCAGGCGCTGAAGAGTAACCTATGCCAACTTGGCATCCGCGGAATACAGTCGCCCCAGTCATCATGACTCCGCGCATGATAGGTGCTGCGACGGTCTCGGGAAGGTCGCGGGCTTCTGTTGGTGGTGGCGGCGGGCACGTCGACTTCGCGACCCTTGGACGCGCCCCACTCCGCCTTGGATTCGGCTCCCGCCGAGTGACATCCCGCGACCTGCAGATTGTCGAGGCGACGGAGGAGCTACTTCAGGAGGAGGTCCCCGAACCAGAAGGTGTCGCTGAGAACGTCTCACTTCTCAGAGGATTCAATGCGACCATCCCTAGTGCCGAGAAGAGCCGGATACGAAGGAGACAGACGAGAAACGTGGACACCCCCAAGCTAGGTCTGAAGAGATTGAGCTTGGGCGCGAGGGGTTTGTTGGGCGATGAGGAGGAACACGACGGGGAGAGCGTGGCCAGCGAAGATGATGTAGTGATGGTGGGACGGTCAGAACGGAACGGGCGCGGCAGGAAGGGAAAGGGCAAGCGGAAAGGGAGGCAGAGTTTGAGTGCAGGAAAGACGTTCGGTATCGACGAGCTCGTCCGACAGACCCACGAGATCGAACGGGACAAGGAGAACATCCATGTCCGCAGGGCGCTCATCAGCAACGAGATTGAGGAAATATCTCACAAGATTGAGGCGTTGGATGCCATTCGGGTCAAGCTAGAGGGGGACTTGTTGAGATTGCAGGAGGAAGAGCTGGAATTGGACGACGAGCGTGCGTTGTCTGACTGTCTTTGATATTCATCTACTGACGGCTGCACTCCTAGTGGAAGGTGTCCGAGAAAGGATCGAAGTGGAGGAGTCTGCCCTTCAGCCTTCGCGCAGTGTCTCGCGCACAGGTCACATAGCGGCAAGTTCCAGGAGACGGAAAGGACCTGCGTTCCTTCCCTCGGAACACGACGAATTGCCGCCAGGAATCGCTTTCATGGTATGTCGGGCTTTGTTATACGTAAAATGTCTATGCTCAAGTCCATCCTAGTCTCTGGAGAGTCACACGACACCCATTACGGCGCTTGACTTCTCAGAGCCTTACGGTACTTTGGTCACCGCGAGCCAGGATGATACTCAGCCTCGCGTCTGGGACTTGCTCACGGGCGAGGAGATAGGGCGACTACGAGGCCACCGCGGGACGGTGAAGTGCATTCAAGTCGAGGATCACATCTGCTTAACGGGCAGCGAGGATGGCACTGTGCGCGCGTGGGACTTGCGGAGGGTCGATGAGGATGAGGACTGGGAGTCCGGGGATATGTTCAGTCTCAGTGACGTTGTGGAGGAGGATGAGAGCGTCGATACCAGCACGAACGGCATCAGGGAAGAGAGCAGCACCAGCAGCCGGCCATCTAGCGCCGTCCCAAGAGATGGGCCGTGTGTGCGGACGCTTGAGGGTCATACAAAGGCCGTTTCTGCAATGTACTTCGAGGATGAGTGCTTGGTACGTCGCATTTGTCGTGCCTTGAATCCACTCATGCGTATATTCATCCTCCAAAACGATAGGTCACTGGCGCATCCGACAAGACAATGCGGCAATGGGACCTCAATACAGGCCAATGTGTGATGACCATGGACATCCTTTGGGCGATCTCACATCCGCCCACGGCTGCTCCCGGAACGGCACTTCCTGCTCACCTGGTTCCCGGAGCCGCAGCTGCCGCGGGGACCTTCGCGGTGCCGACGCCCCCTTATGCCGATGGCACATGGGAGATGTACCAAGATTTCGTCGGTGCTCTGCAGTTCTGGGGTTATGCTCTTGTTAGCGGCAGCGGCGATGGTGCCGTCAGGATGTGGGATAGTGAGTACACCTTGCAGTGAGGTTTGTGTAGAAGTTGCTGACAGCGGCCGCAGTGCGCACTGGCCAGCCCCATCGGACGCTTCTGGGCCACACTGGGCCGGTCACATGTCTCCAATTTGATGAGTTGCACATCGTTACTGGGAGTCTCGACAAGTCCATACGGGTTAGTATCCTTGTGATATCATGTCATGCGTACCTACTTATGTTTTGGTCCTTCCTCCGCTACCTCCGGTTAGATATGGGACGTGCGCACCGGAAGCATCTTCGAGACCCTGAAGTACGATCATGCCGTAACGGCCCTTCAATTTGACACGCGCAAGATTGTCGCTGCGACAGGCGAGAACGGTATCAAGGTGTGCTTCTTTTGCTCAGTTAGGAAGCCAAGGCTTGCCCTTCTATTATTGGCGACTGCCGCTGGAACGAATGCTTACTGTTCGTCGTTGTATGTTTCCCAGATATACAATCGGACGAGTATGCAGCACTCCACGCTCATGACGAACGGCCACACACGACCTGTCGAACATCTCCGGTATATGGACCGATACATGGTCTCGGGCGGGCGCGACTCGATTGTGAAAATCTGGGCGCTCTAAGCCCCCTTCTGCCAAGTGCGCAGCATGCGTCTTTGGACGCCCATCGTGCCTCTGTCTTGAGAAAGGGGAACCAGAGCTGGATGTTCCTTTATACGGTCTTTGGACCCTTTCTTTCTACGAGGACGTCGCACGTGCTGCTACTATTAATGCTTATCGCATGCTCGGTGTCAAGGGGTTTCCATACAGTACCACACGCTGGGTGTAGACACTCGTGCTCTAGAGCTCAAGAATCGAGTATGATGCGGATTCAGGGACGTTAATGTACATTGCATATACACTACAACCAATCAACATAAACATATTGGTGAAGAATACGCAACCTAGGCAGCCGAAAGCCATCGTGAGTGAGGCAGCAACGGCATTCAGCCACTGACCAACTGGATTGCGACGTTTGCGATGGTACCCCGATCTGTGAGCAATTCCGTATGATGACGCAAGACATACATGCATTACCTGTGTCACCATCTTCGTTATATTCTTGATTTTCTTGCACTCATCACGCGCATTGGCAGCTCGCTCAGTGTGCAGCGTTCCTTCTCGGTAATAGCGGTAGAGGTACCTTGGAACACATGATGCAGATGGGTAAGCGGGTGAGGGACGAAGATAGGACATACCGGAGACAAGACTCCTCCTTGAAGTCGGCATACAATTTCCGGTTCGACTTGCGCTACAGGGTGTGAGCGTATGACTAAATCAGGGTGTCTAACCTTCCTACCTCTTCCCTTCTCGCCTCTTCTTCGTATTTGTGACTTTGATGAATGAGGAAGTGGTCCGACAGCACGTAATAGGAAACCCCGCTAAGGTACATCTCGAATAGGCAAGCCGCTTTGTTGCCTCCGTACCCGGCAAATCGCTCGTCGCACCTATCGTCACATGGAAAGAAGTCATTGGATGAACCCTGCTAAAACGGAAAGACGCTGACCAGCTGACATGTTTGCTCGTAATAACGTACGGCTCATACGCGCTCTGATATTGCTCGACTTTGTAAATGGCTCCCTTGCCTGGTGGGATTGAATAGTAACGTTCGTATTCGGTGCTGTTGTGACCTGGCGCCCATGAGGCATGGAAGGATGCAATGACAGGCGGGTTAGCTCGCGCCAACTTGAGTAGGCCCTGCGTGGCGTGGCGCGACAGCGGCTATTGGTCAGTATGTGATTCAAAGTTGAGGAGACAGAGCGTAACGAAGGTAAGGTGGAGCCGAGTTGAAGACTCGGGAAGCTGACGTTCGGCGGACGCACCTGCTTATCGGTAGGGAAGGTGCGCTGGTCGATGCCGTCTCGTTGCTTGACGTACTCAAATGCAGGCACGACGAGTGCCGCTGTACCTTCGCGGAGTTTCTTGACTATTTCAGTAGCGGTCGCGCCGGCAGCGTCAGCGGCGCGGATGCTTTCGTCTGTTCGTCCTGTGCGAAAGGGAGGACGGATCGGGCTCGGGGACTCGGCCGCCTCGCGGATGGTTTCTCTGACGAACCCGCGCCAGTCAGTACAGACGGCGAAGTCCACGTCGAGCATGATGACGAAGTTAGTGCGTGCGAAGAGGCGTGCGGCGTTTCGCCAGACGTTGAATTGGCGTCCCCCCTCGCTCTCCCTTTGGACGACGGGATCGGCTGAAAGAGCGCTGGTGAAGGGAGACAATGCCAGATGTACGTCAACATATTGCGAAAAGAGAGGAGACGACACATATAGAGCGTGAAGGTTGCTAAGAGCTACCCTGGAGGGATGGTCCGGCTTGAGAGACGAGAAGGTGGCGTGGAGGGGGAGTGGTATGTGTATCGTAACGGAGACAGGACCGCGATAGCGTTCGACAAGCTGTTGGAGCACTTTGAATCTATTGCTGGTGACCAGAGTCGTGATAGTGACGTCGTCAGAATGGACATCATTGGAGGACTTGAAGTAGAACGGTATGATGCGCGTCGGATGCATAGCCTCGGAGAAAGCCTTCGACAACAGGGTCTCTTCGTGTATACCAAACCCGCCAGTGGCCAGATGCGTGCCTATAGAGTTTCCGGTGTGGGATAGATACAACAGCTCCGAAGATGCGTACCCGGAAGGCCAATTATCAACCCAGTGGCTGTTATCCAGAGGGTCCGCTAGTCTGAGATCTAGCCGCACTTCAGGTCGATCCTGGGAGAGGGACGCAATCCTAATATCATGGTGACTTGATGTACTGCTGGAAGACGCCGTGGGCGAGGCATGTGTCCTTGACCGGAAGAAGCCAGTAACGGGGGCCAGGACGTAGACACAGGTGGTGAAGAGAACCGCGGCGAGAACGTAGAGGCAGACGCAAAACTGGAGTAGTCTGATGATAACGTTGACACCCATTGTCCAGGAAGTGTCGTTCGCAGCCTAGGAAACCCGGAGGTGATGATGGTGGTTTGCAAGAGCTCCGTCAGGAATTACCATGTTCGGGAGCACACCAGGCAATATTGGGCGCTTATTCACATGCGTCCACTTCATCTTCCTCTGTCATCTTCGTACTCGACGTTAGCATGGTGTTCAGGCACTGGCTCTCTGCTACCCTACGCGCTAGTCCGTCAAGAGGTCCCCATGCCTTGCGGTCCTTCTCTTCCACTCGATGCGTTCACGACATCACTCTTCCGAGGGTGAACTATGAGGAGAAGTACGCAGAGAAGCTACAGCGGAGGGCACAAGAGTACGTACACGTGTCGAACGGAAATGCTTTAGTCGGCTTACGCGTATAAGGCAGGGGAAGAGTGTCGCTGATCTTCGCGCTGAGCTGAAGGAGCAGGAAAGGCAACGCCGTCTCCAAAAGCTCAAAGAAGAGAGTAGCAAAGGCCCGCAGCTTGCTCAGAGTTCTCCAGCGAGTGCTCCTTCCTCTTCTGCAGCGAGTTCAGTTTCAACGTCTTCCGGAAGTTCATCTAGGAAGGACAGCTCTCCTGTGAAGGTACGCAGTATTCCTTAGTCGTGTGGTCTAGTCGCCTGAGGGGAACAACCAGCCGCTCTCCAGCATACTTAATCTTGACAAGCTACTGGAGAAGCCGCATACTCCCGAGCAAATATCATTGCTATGGAGGGCATACCACGAATCGCGTACCGGAGGCACTGGCCGCGGATTTCTGTGCGCGACCGTCCCCGTCGAGAGCTACGACAAGATGTTGGAGGTTTCGGCCAAGTATCCTACATTCATTCTGCCTGTTCCCCGAGAGAACGCGCAGGTGGAAGAAGGATCGAAGAAGCCTGCTTATGAATTCTACCTAATGGAATGGGGCTTCCATGGTTCTCCGCCAGAGCCCGCCACAACGAGCGATCTGTTCTCCCCTACCAAGGCCTCCTCAAATCCGCAAACGTCGACAATCCTCTTCACCCCACTTCAGGAGTACAAGCTCCGCCAATCCTTCGCCACACCTTACCTCGTGTTGACACACTATACCGACCTGGCGAAGTCGCATGGTTTGGTACTCCTGCGCGGGGAGATCACACCATCTGGGGCCTCTGCTGGCGTGGGAGCGGGCGAAGACGGCATGAGCTACATGCTCAGTCAACAGGACGCGCAGTTGCTTGCCATCCACGTCCAAAGGTTTTATCTGCAACACGAGGGGTCCGAGGAGAGAGCCGCGCTGCTCAAGACGTTCCACGAAGCACCGGAGCAGTTCAAATGGGAAAAGCTGTTGGTCCATACAGACTTCTCTGCCTAAAGCGACGTTTCAGCGTTTTCCATCGGGTTTCTCGGTCGAAGACGCGTCCGCGTGGAGGACACGCATCAGACCGCCTACGACTGATAGCTAGACAACCTAGTACGGATGTCATTGATTTCTGACAGCGTATTGCTCATCGGACTCGCCTCAGATATTGATTAGACGCCAACGGTTCAAATAGATTCCATACTGAATTAGCTTAGCGCTCGCTGAAAGCGTTCGTCGTGTCGCACTGGGTCTCGAAAAGGAGCGCCGGCTCAAAGAGGCAAGCAAACACTGGATCGACCCTCTGCCATCTGTCGAATCAGCTCAGTCCATTCCTGATCCTTAATGTTGCACAACATAAGATATCTCAGCTTGCCGAATTGCGTCTTGTCTCCATGAATCTGATGCTGCGCCAGGGCCTACTCCTACGAAGCCGGCGAACTTACTTGATGGTCATGCGCCCCCTTCATCAGGTGTTCGCTTGCGTCAGAATTCCATTCCACCCCAGCTCGATTCCGTACATGAATAACTTCCCTCTGTCAAATTGTAGCTCCGCCGAGCGGGGTGGTCGTACGCTTCCTATCTTGTTCCTGTTGGACCGGAACGATCATACGTTTCTTCTCGTTCATCTTCCAGGAGCTTCTGCCCTATCTATCGTCGTACGTAGGTCACTGTCTCTGAAATAGTCAAGTCGCTGCCGCGTGCTGCCTAAGAATAAGTATGTGAAACCTGCACCACCTATGGGCATGGACGTCGGTGTTCGATGGGTAGAACGCTCCAGACGGGCGGTTATGAGTTAGATTCTGTCTCCCAGGCCTGTCTGGCATCCGGGCGGCGCCTTCGCGGGCTTCTTCACGAACGTCCATGTGCATCGACCGTTCGCGGCCTATCTCAAGGAGACCTGCTTGCTGGTGCACACGCCGGCAGGCGCGATCCGAGGGCAAACGGTCTGATTACACGATTCTGCCATGTCTCGGGTGGCACTCGGCGCTCGCCGCCCTGGCACGGATGCATATGGCGTACCGGTGGAAGTGTTCCATAGGGACACTATGCATGAGGCCATCGAGATCAGGTTACCGGATGAGGCCCCCACTGTTTGCGCCCATTCTCTGACGGGTATAAGAAGGGTAACAGCTCGCTTGTCCTGCGGCATCTCCACCCGGCATTGTCGTAACACGGACTCGAGCTATACTGCATCCAGTCGCCAGCGTGGCTCATCAACAGCGTTCCTCACACCAGTCGTCGTGCCCTTTGACTTGCATCTCACCTTCCGCCACCACCTTCCGGCCCTTGATACTAATGTCTCGCATGTCGCTTTTCAAGTCGTCGGCGTCGTCCAAGGTGCGTTGTGAATGGAACGCTGACGCTCGTCCAATTGTTCCGTTGCTCAGATCACCATGTTTGACTATCAGGCCTCCTCAACCTCTGACTCGCGGCGATCCTCCATTATGAGCGACGCTTCATCTCCAGTGTCTCATGTGCAATTCGTGAGTCGCTCCGGGTACTGCAAGCAGTTTAGCTCTGCTGATCAGCGTTGCGTGTAGCCGGGTCTGGTGTCCGCACTAAAGCAGCCACACGCGCAGTCAGGACTCCCAAGCTCGGGCAGGGCAGAATATGTAAGTGCCGCGTAAGTTCCGTTCCGTGGAGTACGGCTGAGTGCTTGAGCTATTAGGCGGAGATGCTAGACGACGATAATATGGCGTGGGGGAAGCCTAAGAAGGCTTCGGGGCGATCGTCATGAGCCCGATTCCATTATACCCGTCCTTCCGCCGACACACGCTCTCCCCAGGCTCATCTCTGGTGTACTTTATTGTATCAGTATGGACAGATGCGAGTTGTACACGCAATAATACCCCTTCGTGCTTTCCTGCTCTATGCGTCTCAAGTTCGTCACCGGCGAAGAAACCTAGAGAAGCAACCCTCCAAGATGCCGTACTTCGCGATGTACCATTTGGCTGTCAAATCGTGAAGAGGCTTTCAGGGCACCAGTAGGCATTGCAGGATTGTTCAGTCAATAAAGCACACTTTGTTCTAGGTCGGATGACTACCCATTCAACCTGACCAGGCGCCAAGAGGGGAGATTGCATCGGTACTTTCACAAGTACACATTCCCATAAATAGATGTTGTTACAAATACTCACATGCAATACCATACAGTACGTACACGGAGCCTGTGTTTTGGGTCTACCAATAGAAGGTAGGATCGGGACTACGGGGAGCCGATGACAAGGCCTTGGGTTCGCGGCGGGCCGCGGGAGGCTGCAGGAGCCGCTTCGTATGACGACCGCCTAGCCCTTAGTACTCCAACCACCTCTATTTCCATAAATGTCCCCGCCTTTCGCTGCATAGTGGGTAAGTCTTGCTTCGTGGGTGCAGAACTTTTCTTGGCACAGCTGGCTTGGAGGCGAACTTGCCCGCAAGGAGCAACGATGTCGTGTTCGAGACAGTGAAGAGCGCGAACATTCGGGTCAGGATCCAAGGCGCGATCCGTCCAGGCCCGTGCAGAAGAAGTTCTTGTGGGAAAGCCAGTTACATAGATGACGATCACGCCCTTGCTGTGAATGCGGGCCTTCTCTAGGGACGGTTTGCGCGAAGAGAACGAGGGAAGTGCATAATGAACGTGCGCGACAACCTAACCTGACTGCGTAGACACACCCCTGCACATGGTCGACGAAGATGCTGTGGGACTATGAGGCACTTCGAGGACCTCGGCAGCTACGTGGACGTAAACAAGAAGCTGAAGAGCGCCGGCAGGGAAGACTGCAGCCTGAATGTGCCGACTCGGTTGAACTATTGAAATAGGATCCTAACGCAGAGAGGTAGAGCGAATCAATGCAAAGTTAGCCTTCAAACGCTACAGACAAAATTCACAGACTAGAAACACGGGAAGGGAGACATCGGATCGCGAAGGACAACCGATGGCGAATCTCGGCACGGTGAACTACAGGAATGGCCAGGATCCATATCCGCCTTGCGCATAACTACGAATTGTATGTGTCAGCTTCGCTCAGACTCAAAGGACACCGGTATGGTTACCTTAGCATGAATTTCCTTACACACACAAAACGTTCAACACAAGTTTTCTGCCTTGTCCTAATGCCAGATTGTTATCTTCTGCGATCGTAGAGAACACGTTTGAGAGCTAACTTACTAAGGGGAAGAGATGGCAGGTGCCTTGAGGGTCCACTGGTTTTCCTCCAACTCTCTCAGGACGAACGCCGCGAGCGCTTGGCGAGCTAGCTTGGTCCCAACCTTCCCGTCTCCTACGTACCCTGCAAGCACAGATCTGTCCTCGTTGTCGTTCAGGATTGGTACTCGCGCGATGGTCCACACGAGCTCCTCAGGGTCAGCGGCCCGAATGGTCTGCCCGATAGCCACGACATCCTTGTATGCATTACGAACGAACGTAGCGACGACGGTGATCATGGCGAGCATGATCAAGCTAAAATGATCGTGTTCATCCTTCATGCTCGGGGTGCCCACTGCGATAAGGCGCTTGACGTTCTGTTGCTTCATCGATTCTATGATGAGCTGGTACGCTTGGGCGAGCGGGGTATTGCTGGGATGCGATGGACCTGGGCCAAGAACAGAGAGGACAGCTTGGACCCCTTGCATCGCTGCAGAGAGCTTCTCTCTGTCCGTCAGGTCTCCTGCCACCACGGTGACGGAAGGACTAGAGGAAATGTGGGCGGGAAGTTTCTGGGGCGACCGAGCATAGACGACGACTGTGTGGTTTACTTCCAAGGCCTGCTGAATTAGCTCGATCCCGCTAGGTCCGGTACCGCCTAGGATCAAGATATGCATGAGGCTGAACGGTGGGTGCGCGATATGGTCGGTGTGGAGAGTTAGGAGATTGTCGTATTCGCCTGCTTTCGAACCGACGTTGGCCTTTGCTCACCTGAGCATCCCGAATATCCCGGTTCACTAGGCTGGCGGGGCACACATACGTCAGCCTGTTTATGTAGCCGGGAGGATTGTGCTAATCAGGTGCCCAGGCCTTCAGTGGACCGTGGTAGGGTATAACACCTAGTACAGTTGAGCACGAGACCAACCTTCACAGACCTAGAAGATAACCACGATCATTGCGCGTCTTCATTCAATACTACCTGCATTGCGCTCTGCTTGGTGGAGAATTTTGAGCCAGAGTAGCAGGCTGGATGAGGATGGTTTATATGTAAGCTAGATGCCAACCGATAGCTTATCAATCGGGCAATGCGCGCTACCTCCATCACGAGGAACTTGAACTGGTGCATCATCTGCTGATCTTTCATTAGATGCTACATACTCAAACAAGCCGAGTTTCTTGTATCTGGCGTCATACTCAAGTGTTCAGATTCACATAAGGGAATTCTGCTAATACAGCAGGACTGCCAGTGTGTAATACATAGACATACTCTAGTAGTTTTCATAGTCAGCTATCATACATGACCGGCGCTACACGGCCTCGAGCTGCCACCACGTCAGCTGCCGTCGCATGCCGCACTCGAATTCTATATATCGTGGACGCAGGGCAATCGGTAAACATATCCTTCCTGCGTGCTCATCAGACCTGTCAGTACATGTGTTGTCGTTTCCTCCACCACAACCGCTCATTGAACATCGTTGCAGTATTGCTGATCGCGCCCCTGCCACAAGGACCTCTATCATGATGTTGAAGTCTGTAGATGCAGCGCGGACGAGTTGGCCTCTCCCTACTTCCGACAGCCCCCATCGATATCTCCCTCCAGAACTTCTCATCGAGATATTCGCAAGGCTGCATCCCGAGAAGCGCGACGAGATTCACTATTTGCATGTATGCAGCGCCTGGCGAACACTCCTTCTCAAAACGGCAGAGTTCTGGGTAGATATGCTTCGAATACCCTCCATCATGGTGTATGAGGATAGGCCGCCCACCGATATCGACATCGAGTTTGCGAACACGTTCATGGAACGATCCGCCTCTCTTGATATCGACGTTACGGTGCATATCTCCCCGAAGCTTACCCCCGCAGCTTTCGCGTCTCGCAGCCAACGGATCTTGTCTCTCGTTCTATACATCGAGTCTCAGTATGCCGCGGACTTTTTCCAAGTCTTGACGACTGGTATGCCTCATCTGCGGCAACTTGTCGTTCACCACAAGTACGAAGGCTTGAACCATCCTCCGAGATTCCCCTCGGAGACAACGAAGCTCATCCGGACGGCTTCCTTTGCCCTACCATCTCTCCGCGATCTCCGCATCCCCTTTGCATTCCTCGCACCAGGACTGGCCAATAGCTCTCTGCGAACCTTGGCAATGGGCGGATGTTATTGCTCCGACTGCATTGGCAGTTCCGTTACGCTCGACACGATCCTCACCTTCCTAGAGAAATGCCCTTCTTTAGAAGATTTGCACATCAAGGAGGAGGGTAGAAAGCCGCATGTGTCATCCCGCTCGCCGGTGGCCCTCCCTAGTCTCCGCAAGCTCGCCCTCGGTGGCGACGACTTCTGGTCCTCGAACTTCATCGACATCCCCGCGATCTTGCGTCACCTGACTCTACCTGCCGACATCGCCGTCAAAATCAGATACCCCTATAGCGATCAGACTTACATCCCACCCATGCGAGAGCTCCCCATTGTCTCCTTGCTCGACCGCTTGTACGTCCGCTTCATCAAAGCGCGTGGTTACAAGATAGTCAAAGTAGAAGGGTGGATTGCCGACGCTACCACGATCGACCTCGAGTCGCGCATGTACTCTCACCCTACCGTCGACCAACTCGTGAATACTTTCGGCTCGCAGATCGTCAAGGACCTCGAGATCTGGGTGTCGGGGCCAGGGGTGTACAAGGAAATGGGGCTGCGAGGAGGTGTTGAGCAGCTCCTGAGGGGCTTTCCTTCCATCACGCGGCTGAAGGTGCGCAGACAGCGTCCGGACGAGCTGTTCGTGGCGCTGGCGTCGGTCTCACGGGCTGGCGTGCCGATCTGTCCAGACCTGAAGGAACTCGTCGTGCACTGGAAGCTCGCGCCGGGCACGACGGTCTATGAAGAAGACTTTTGGTCCGTCTTTGACCGGATAGAGTCGACGCTCCTTCAACGGGCATCGAAAGGACATGGGCTGGCCAGATTCGTGTTCCGGTGTGAGGATATACAGAGACTGAAGCCTGCTGTGCCTCCGGAGGAGCTGAAACAGCGCCTTCTTGTGAAGTTGTCGTCTGTGGCTGAGGAAGTAGTAGTCAATGCGTACATAGAGACGAAAGTGTAATGGTAGAGGAATCGCATCGTTGACTATCGCCTCATTAAGGGTTGAAGCGCGTATTCCAGCACTTGGTCACACTAGAGGACATTTCGTCATCTAGACGGAGCTGGAGCTCTCATGTATTGCAAGACCGTTATCATGAAGGGTATAAGTAACATCAAACGGATAACCTGCCATCTGACGACCATCATTGAAGTCATAGCACATGGGGCCAACGACCGTCAAGCACTACGTTCGTACAGCGCTATTCTAGCCTTCCGTCAGCCTAAGACATTCAAATGCTATGGATCGAAGCTGGCTCACCCTATTCGTCCTGCTTACTCGTAGACGTGGACACCAGCGATATCCCAGAACGCTTCGGAGAACGCGCTGGGGTTCTCATTGACAAAGGCTGCGAATCATGATACGTGAGAAGGAGGTTCACATCTGCGAAGGCGATAGGGATCGAAATCTTACTGTTGCAGTCACCGGCGCAACCACCGAGGGTGTTGAAGAACTGGGAAAGACCAGCCCAGTCACCGCCTGCGCGAGAAATTGGTCAGTATCACCTGCGATCTGACGCCGTGATGGTGCCAAGACTCACAGAACGTCAAGTTGATGATGATGTTGTGCGTTCCGAAGTGGCTGGGGATATCGCACTGGTCATTGACGAAGAGCGCAGTGGGCGTGCCCTACAGACCGAGCATCCGTCAGCGATATGAAACGTGCAAGGTACAAGAACGTCGCGCCCGCGATGATGGTGCGGGCGGGGTACGGCGTCAAGCCGCTAGGTCTGCGACGATACTGCGGTAAATGAAATTCAAGTACTCACGAATGCGTCGGTGTTCACAGTGGGACCAGCGGTCTTGACGTCTGCAGGGACAGCGGGGTCGTTCCTCGACCAGAACCACACCTTGATGAAGGTATCGGTGCGTTCCATGGCGTAGAAGCCACCGCCCGCCGCGTTGAAGGACTTGCCGTAGCTGTTAGGAACGGTGGACTGGACACCGCAACCAGAGTTGCCGTTGGCTGCGACATCGCAATTCTCGCTGACGGGGTTACTAGTACGATCGCGATCAGGAGCCGCACATGGGAGGGGAGAAGTGGCGGTGCACCAAGATGCTTACCCGTTCTGAGCGCGGCCGTCGGGCTGGGCGCAGTTTGCGCTGGTGTGCAGGGTCGACTGGTTGGGCTCGATGTCGTTCGTGCCCTCCAGGATGTCGACCTCACCTTCGCCAGGCCAGTTGGCTTCGTCGACCTCCCAAGCCGCCGGCCATGTAGAGCAACCCTGGGGCATGTGGCGGATGTCGAAGACGGAGACGTGGTTCGGGCCATACGCGTTGTTACTCTTGATGCGGACGGAGTTGCGTCCAGGCCCGTTGGGGTCAAGAGTAGTGAAGTCATCAGCGCGCATGATGAAGGTGTCCGCAGACGCGAAAGTCAGGTTCTGACTCTGTGCGGTGGCCTGGTCGACATAGTTCCTGCAGACCAACGCTGTTAAGCGATAAACTACAAGCGCATATACGAGCGCACTTACACCCGACCGTGGGTAGGGTCGGCGATCGCCTCATGGACGAAGCCAGACAAGAAACCCTCACCGACGAAAGAGTCCTTCAGGGGGTAAGTGGCACCGAGTGCGGAGGTAACGAGCGAGGACACGGCGAGCAGCGCAGCTGTAGAACGCATGACGAAAGATAATAAAGATAACGATAACGAGAGTGAGCGACGGGGGCGAAATCCACAGGATCTGAGGAAACATGGCCAGTCTCCCGCCTCTTATATGCGACCGCACATGCGCTTTGTGATCGCGCAGCGCCCAGAGCGCGAGGACGGATCATCCATTACGATCAATTTGACCGCTTTGCACATCATGTATCGTTCAAAGGCCTTTGCAAACTTGACAACGATCAGTAGACATGCAGTGGGTGGAGACACCATGCGCGCGAGCGTCCAAAGCATACGCTCCTAACGACGGAATAACCTTGTTCCTCTCGGGGGTCACATCGGATAAGTCCGAGTGGCCGTCCGATTGCGGCGGCACAGCGATGCGTAGATGCCCCCTGATTGATGCGCTACGACAACCACAAGCTGCAGCCTGTGGGACTTTTGTGCGAAGCACGGCTCTACATCTGGGATGGATAGATGTACGTAAGTACATACTGCGGACAGCCCGGATGCTTCCTGCCACAGCATGATCGAAGAAAGGGTCCTCATGCCAGATCATCTCCTGACAGGCTGTTTTTACTTTGCGGAACCTCCTGTTGTTGGATGCAAAGCGTGAACGCCAAGGAGGAAGCTATCACGTGAAGCTCACGTTGCATATGAAACGCAGCGATCGTTTGCACAAGTACTTCCGACAAGCTGCAACCTGTGTATGTCTGGCCTGAGGCTTTTCATCAGCACAAATCCCAGCATGGCCAATACAGATATTGCCCGTATCTCGCTGTTGAAGGGTTCAAGAGGCACCGTCACCGGTCGACGTCATCACTATCAAGATAATGATAATGGAAGGAGAAGACAAGATGTCTAGTTGTGAAAATGGTTGCTCTCAACGTCGCATCTTTCCCTCTATTATTGGTCTCATTCCCATCCGTCCTTGCGCTTACAGACAGTACCTGAGGATTCGTCCCTGTCCCTCCTAGGTTTGCTAAATGTAGCGAAGCATCGAGTGACGGGGTAGAGCCGGCTGTAGAACCACCGGAGTCGAGATTGTACTCTTCTTTATGCGCGCTCGCGTATAACGAGCACGCGGAGCGCGACAGTCCCAGACATCCAGTAAACGCGATGAGTATTTTGCAAGTCGCAGCGGAGGATAAGACCAGAGATTTTCAGCAATGTTAGAAGTTATACAAGTCTGCAAAAGACGTCATGAGTATGCATCGAAACAAGGACATCACTTGCAACAATTGGGAACCGGAAGGTATGCGCCCTGGAGTCTTGGACCTCGAGCAACTTCAGTACTTTGGATGCATCTGTTGCTGGCTCTGCCATCCGATGGATGCATCTTAGGTCTAGTGACAACACGGAAGATGCATCCGCTACGACGCAGGTTCCTCATCAGGATGCTTCTCTTGATGAGCCCCCTTGCCAAGCCTGGATGCATCCGTCTCCTGTGGTTTGGATGCATCCAACTACTGGATACCTACAAACCCTTTTCAACTTCTACAGCACACAGAGGCAGGGTTCTAAACTGACATGAGCGAAAGCCGCTCGACCTGACCAAACAATAAGCAGATGCATGACGCATGACGCACCGACCCAAATACTTCCCGGAACGACCACATGCGCGGGCTGTATACAACTGACCTCTCCATCGACGCGCGACACCCGCACCGGCAAACTCAGCTCATTGGCGTACGGGGCCAAGGGTCCATCTCAACCGCGTCCCGCTCAATTGCCCTTATTGCGTCCTCGACCTCCCCTTCCGCAGACACATCCAACTCAACCATATCCCTTCCCATGACCCGACCGAACCTCGTGATGAGCCCTGGCAACTCGGCGGCCACAGAGATCGAGCTTGGGTTGGGCGCCGTGCTGGAGGCTCTTGCGATGCAGCCAGCTTTCACGTCCGTGAGCCCGCACGCCACCACCCGGTCGAACCACGCCAGAGGCTCCTCGGTGATGTTCATCGCGAAGCCGTGAGTTGTGAGTCGATGTCGGACTTGGACGCCGATGCTTGCGACTTTGGTGTGGGGACCGAGGAAGACGCCAGTGTGCTCGCTGGGTATGTGCTGAATGCCGTGTGCCTCCAGAAGGTGTGCTTCCAGGGTCTTCTGTAGCCTGCAGATGTAGTCTCGGATGCCCATTGGTGGAGATGTGCGGCCAAGGTCTATGAGGGGATAGCCGACGACTTGGCCGGGTCCATGGTAGGTCGTCTCGCCACCGCGTTTGGTTGAGACGCAGTCTGCCCCAAGACCCTTCAAGCGGGAGGCTTCTAACGTGATCTCTTCGGAAGACTCGAGTTGCCGCCTTCCGAAAGTGTACACGGGCCTGTGTTCAAGGAGGAGCAGGTAATCTCTGTGATGGTGTGACGTTTTCCGACTGAGTAGCTGGTGCGCATGTATGTGTTCTTGCAGCACGAGTGCTTTGGTATAGGGCAAAGGCGTTTTGAAGCAGTGGTAGAATATTGGCGGTAGACTCATGCTCATGATGTGAAGCAGGCAGAAGAGGTAGAGGATGTTGCCGGCAGGTAGGGTGTATGTCAGACGACCCGCCCCGAGCGCTTCTACTGTCAGCGGCGAGCGTGCGAGTCGGTGCGACCGTAACGGCCGCTTTGGCAGCTGACCATCCAAATCATGCTCACCCCACTTCCGGCCTTCTCAACGAGCCGTCAAGCGGGCGGTATACATACAGAGTACTCTTTGGGACAAGACCGAACCTCTTCCTTCCGAACGACGAGAGTCTCCAGACATCACTAACGTAGAAACGGACACCCGGTACAAGATGCCATCCAATGTCAAGGGGCAGAGGACTTTCATCATAGGCGTGGGGTGCACGGCGTTCATTAAGGTGTGTTGACCGACACATACCAGGTTGCTGGAATAGCGTGCTAAAGCATACGGCTGCTGACCCCAGCCTCGGGGTCTGAGGACTACGGAAGAGGTGAGCGGCACGTAATTGGGGATAGTGCGTAGATCGCGTATTCAGGTGACTATGCCAGATGGGTCTGGAGGCTGCAACAAAGGCCCTCCTTGATGCTGGTACACACATTGGTTTCTTATGAACTTCAGTGTTGCCAACATCGAGTGCACTAACAGGTATCACGTACGACGCCGTCCAAGCCGCCTACGTTGGTTACTGCTATGGCGACTCGACCGCGGGTCAGGTGAGCACGTTTGAAACGTATGCACCAGAGGAGACACGCCAACAAGCATACAGCGGGCCTTGTACCAACTTGGAATGACGGGTATCCCGATCACAAACGTCAACAACAACTGTTCGACCGGCAGCACAGCGTTATACAATGCCAACACGCTCGTGAAATCAGGACTGTACGACTGTGCCCTTGCCCTGGGCTTCGAGCGCATGGCCCGCGGCAGTCTAGGCTCGAATTTCCCAGACAGAGAACCGCCTACGGCAGTCTTCAACACTGCGTCCATCGAGCTTGAGGAGACGTTGAGCTCAGGGAAAAATCATGGTCCGGGTGCCCCTCGTATGTTCTCCAACGGCGGTCAGGAGTATTTTGACAAGTTCGGGGGGAACATCAACCACCTTGCGCAAATCGGTGAGGCTGCCTGAGCATGTAACGGCCTGGAGATCTCACTGTGCTCGACCTCAGCTAGCAAGAATCACAAGCACTCCGTCAATAATCCGTACTCCCAGTTCCGAGATGGTTGGTCGGTCGAGCAAGTCCTCGCGGCGCCGAAAATCACCGAGCAGTTGACCAAGTTCATGTGTAGTCCTACATCGGTAAGTCGGCTCTTTGCTACTCACGGTCTCCCTAATGTATGGTACCTTGCAGGACGGCGGCGCTTGTTGCATCGTGGCGTCCGAGGACTTTGTCCATCAGCATGGCCTGGAGAACCAAGCCATAGAGATCGTCAGCCAGGCATTGACGACCGACGATCCGTCCACCTTCGAAACTCGCAGCGCTATGAATGTCGTTGGCTACACCATGTCCAAGAACTGCGCCGATGAAGTGTTTGCCCAGGCCGGGTTCAAGGATGGCGAAGGCCGTGATCAAGTCGGCGTCGTTGAGCTGCATGACTGCTTCGCCGCGAACGAGGTATGACTCGCACATGTCTGGCGTATTCTAGAATGTGGACTAACTCTGATTAGCTTCTCACATACGATGCTCTTGGCCTCTGTGAGCATGGCCAAGCACACAAGATGGTGGAACGGGGAGATAATACGGTTCGTCGTTCAACTACATGGGAATTCGTCGCTCACAAAAAGTGCAGTACGGAGGCAAGTACGTAATCAATCCAAGCGGTGGATTGGAAGCGAAGGGCCACCCTTTGGGCGCCACAGGTCTCGGCATGCACTTCTACATTACCAGTAAGCTCTCGTTTCATAGCAGCCCAAACCCTCGCGCTGACAAGATGGTGATTATCAAGTGCAACTCCGCCAATGTACGACGGGCCCCGGTTGACAAGTGCCTCATGTACTTACTTGAACTCCACAGGGGCTGGTCCGATGCAGGCACCCGGCCTGTTCGACGTTTCAGACAAGCGTGGCAAGTTCGGACTTATTCACAACATCGGGTTGGGCGGTGCGGTTGTGTGCAGCCTGCTGCGTAGACCTGAGTTCTATAAAGAAGGCGGGGAAGACGGGCGGAAGAGGTGCGGCCGTTCTCGCTCGATCGCTGCGGGCATTCAACGTTGTTACTGACGATCCTCTGTGCTGCTCTTCTGCCTGCCGATACGGACCTTGGGACAGGCTTGGCTATAACCACGGACACGAATATCGGCCAATCACCCGCGAGGACGTCGATAAGGTCAAGGCGCAGATGAATTCGCCGTATATCCTGCAACGGGCGAAGCTGTGAACGACGCCTTGGCCGCTCTCTACAGTAATAACTATGAACTGCTGCGCTTCTAAGGAGTTTTTTTTCCAGTGTCAGGTGTAAGATATGAATTGTAGTCCCGATCTTGAAACTTCTATACGCAGTTGCAGAGCTTTATTCACGATTTCGCTTCTTCGCACCGTTGGTGGAATAACCAAGACGTATGTCGGCAGTTCCCTAGCGCTTTACTTGCACTCCACGCTGACGGAAAGCTCTCATCTAGATCCTAGGCCGGGGAAACAGAGCTTTCCGCAGCCACGGCGATTGAATGACTTGCTACAGGTTTCCACGGACGAGCGTCACCTTGTCTTTGGTTCCCAGTTCTGCGAATAACTCGTGAGAGCACGAACACTCGGCACTGCCCTTATCTCATACAGTTTTCGACCTGCGTGGTGCTTCAATGATCGCTTGTTTAGGAATGACAATTAATCCAAGAAAAGTCTTGCCACGCATCGACTCTTTCCCAATGCTCCCTAGGATGCATCTGGTGTCTGTTTACAAGCGATTCTTAGCAATGGGATAATCGATAAATGCAACTAATAGGTACACAATGGTATGTCGGGACGTCAGAAACCATAATCTGACCGCAGCGCAGAACAAATACAAGGTGAGTAAGTCCGTATCAGTCGTGGGGACACAGCTACATAAGACGCTAAGCGCGATCAAGTACGAGTTGGCCTCCATGCTGTCCCCGCTGAAGGGCGTGCCCATGCTGAGTTGTCGTCGTCGAGCAATTCTGCTGGACCCTTCCAGTGCAAGATTTCGCGTTAGCTTCTCGACGCATCGAGGCGTTGGGAGTCGTGACATACCTCTCGTGCCGGGCGTGTCTGCCGGCGGCGCCTGATATTTCTGAATGGGCCGGAGCTTGAGGCCCTACTAGATGGTCGGCTCCACGCCGTCTCGTCATCGCCAAACATTCCCTCAGGTGACTATGAGGATGGGCTTGTCAATGGGGAGGTCGCATGTGCGGTACGAGCCAGCTTACAGATGATGAAATGCTCTTTGCTAGGCTTAGGGAGCTCCGAGCGCGCTGAGAATGCTCCATATGAGCGATGTCCTACGGTCGAGGTCAGTTAGCGACAATTTTAAGTGAAGTCGAGGGACGAGACGCGGCTACTTACTCTGTGTTCCGCAGAATGGCGACCAAGGCGTTGGATCAAGCCTTTCAGCTTCGAACGACAATTGTCGGCATGTTCGACGTTCTGGAAATTTAGTAAGTCTCTCAACCCCAAGTGAAGTGCATAGGGGCTGAGCAGACACTTACCTCCGAGCAGTGGTAGCTGCGCACGTCAATACTTGAAGAAGAGTACATGATGGAACGAAAGTTCAGATTGCAGAGGTCGTATGAGAGGGGAGGTTAAGGGGAGGTTGAGTGCTGCAAATCGTTGTCTGGTCAGTACTGCCGTCTACTTCGCCCTTATATGCATTTGGCTCTACCGCCGAAGGCTCTGCCAAGCCTGCTGCGAGCGAGTGTTTCTGAGCACACTCTTGTCTCTGAGTCTTTCTTTAGCTCATGTGGAGAAAGTCGTTCCGCTTTTCGCATCGACTGCACTGCTGCTGCGCAAGCTTGCTCTACCCATATAAGGCAAGTCTTTTGGAACGGTTCCCCTCTCACGGTCTTGGGACATCTTTCTCACTCCCATACACCCGCGCACCGGCTCCATCGAAAGCCTGCATGACGTCCCAGCTTGTGCACTGGTATGCGGTGCAGAGCTGACAACATCGCTCCAATGCCAGGTCATATATAATGTCCTTACGATGGAAGCCCCACAACTCTGCCCCGGAGTCAGGGCACAGGCCGTAGACTCGCCGTTCATATCATCGGCTTCCCAAAGCCAAGAAGCAACCCTCGTTCGCGGGTGCATTATACTGCGGTTCGCCACCGTTCCCAACCTCAAGCATTTCTTGGCGACGAAGAGGACCGAGGTCAAGCAGCCCCAAACCCTGTCAGTCTCAGCGGCTTGTCCGCCTCTCTATCGCCCAGGCACGCATAATGAAGGTTTGCCAGGTACCGCAGCATCGGTGTAGTTGGGTACTGTGGACGCCAAGGAGCTCCATGGAACCCGGATGAGCCACACGATCCCATCCCCCTGGAGATGACTGTCTTGCGGGAGGTGCGTACTTGAGATCTTCTACCCCTCCTCTTCATCTTCGGAGACAAATGCAAGAAGCTCTCACCGCGTACATAGACTATTGATCGTTCCGTATGCTTCGACGTCTGTGGACCAAGTCTTTTCAAAGCAGGCCCGCCAACATCGTACAGTGTGCTTACCTCGCAGCAGACACAAGATATTCATGAGCATACGTTATGGCTCAAGCCCAGCCCTGATACCATACACGGTACAAGCCAAAATCGACGCTCATCGTAAGATATGTTGGTGGCGTTCAGGCAGCGGATAAATTCGATCCGCCCTGATATCTAGGAAGTCTTGAGTAGCAACTGCGATTGCTACACTGCATTACCAAGGTGATGTATCACCAGTCCGGATTTAATAAGGCTTTGTCCCTCTATTGTAATGATACGATTACTGCCCTTCCCTGGCAGAGCAGAATGTTCGGGTGTAGATGGCACCTCCGAGGGCTAGCGCGAGTCCGGGGGCATCTTTTACCTCACGAACAACTGAACCCCATCGGTCTTCTGGTATATATGTACGACAACCACCTCCTCAAGCAGTCTATGAAATGAATGTCATCTGAGATAGGTTGGCTTGAAGTGAGTTTTGCTACAGGAAGTTTGCTGCGCGCAACCGCACCATATCGGTACTTACCTAAACGTGGACCGGTGCCGACCGAATGTGCAGGTGCCAGACAGACGCCCCTTGCTCCGAGTATGAAACGCATGCTTTGCCCTCTTGAAGCAGTCACTCGTCTTCAGCCTTTGACATTGCTTCACACGAGACATGCATCTGGCCGCATATGATCCCTGATATGTACTCGTGCACTCAAGGATCACTGTACCTCGGTCTACGTTTCCTCTCTCAAATTCACAAATCACTCCAGTGAACGCCGCTGTCGTGGTCAGTGGGTTGGCTATCCGGAAACGAAACAGTGCTTCGAGGGTGTGGAGATCATATATACTCTGGCTTATGCCATTGAAAGTGTTCATATCAAGCGTTCTCTCTGGAATCCCCATCTGTAACTCCCCGACCCTCAAATTCGAGGTGCCGACGTCCTGATCATGGCCTGACCACTCAAGCAAGCTTAGACGATTCCCCGCGTCCGCCCCACCTTCGGAGGGCGAGTCGATCCAAGGATGAGTCCGCCCATTATTATTGACTTACCTTCATTTCGAACCTCACTTCTTCTGCTACGGGTTGGGAGGCGTTCTTCGCTTTGGCCAAGCCCCGCTAGCACAAGATCGCTCGTGGGAGGTGAGGTCTTATCCTCTCTTCCGTTGCATCTGTACTAAATCAGTTTGATCAGATAGTCATTGCTTATGGCCCGTAAACGATTGTGAAGTTGGTCGGTCTATCGGACGAATGTCTGTCAATGATCTATTTTACAACAGCGCAGGCCATCGACCGAGTAGCCTACAACGAGGTATGTAAACCTCTGGGATATCGGGCCAGGGAGGTATGAGACCTCCCAGTCACGCATATGATTGGCTGTCAGCCTGGGACATCAATACGGGCGCATCAGATCTTGATAGCTAGAACGGTGTACGTACTCGAGGCAACGTCAAGGAACTTGAATAAAAAACATACTCCCTCTCAGGAGGTCTCAGTAATTGACGAGGCAGCATTTGTCCAACAGATGCAGAGTGTTGTGCAGGCGTGGCGGGAGAGGAGGGTGGGGGACGCGCGACATGGAAGACCACCGACGCTGGCGCTACCGTGGCGCATCAGCGCGCAATTTTTGATGATCAAAGTGCCCAATTGGTATTGTGGCGCTTGATGCGAGATTTTAGGGTTTGCGCGAGGAGGACCCGCCATTCGTGCTCCCTCCCCTCCCTCGCTGCGCTCGGGGGGTCCCCCGAGCCGGGAGCACTCAGGCGGGCAC